TTTGGCACTTGTTGACACTTATGAGACAATTCTGTCGGGCGTGCCGAACTACCTCAGTGTCGCCCTCGCTCTGTGGCGGATCGCTGGGATAAAGGCCGTCGGCATCCGCTTGGACAGTGGGGACCTCGCGTAAGGTGTCTTTTGGGAATTGCCAAATTTTCCCATTTTTTCTTCGAGTAAACTTTTTTTCCGCAAAGTTTTTTGTACTGTTGGAAAGAGTAATTTTTTTCCAATTTCTGCCCTTGTTGTAGGTATTTGAGTATGAGAGCACGAGAAGTGTTCTCTGCTACTGCTGATGCTTATGCTAGTGAAGGATTCCAGTTTATTGCAAAATGTAAGAAGGCAATATTCTCTGTTTGATTGTTCTTCATGCTATCCGTCTCAGCCCGTATAGTAGCCTCTAATGATATCAACGAAGCGGTACTGCTATCGTTGCATGACCAACCTCATTCTATCGACTCCTTTGGCATCGGCACCAACCTGGTGACATGTCAAGCCCAGCCGGCGCTGGGGATGGTGTAGGCAAGAGAGCTGCGTTACTGAGTTGAGGGCGTGGTTCAATCGGTGTTGGAAAATATGTGCGTTTTCCGCAACTGAACTAAGAAGTTTCCTCACTGGGTATAGGGTAGAAATGTGCAGAACCCAATGAGAATTTTCCGAAATTTCCTCGAAAATTTCATATCGTCGGTCACACATGTAGTTGACCATGTGCACGTTTTCCCACAATGGGTACAACAGATACAAGCTGGTTGAGCTGAACGGTCAGCCTCGGATGAAATTATCGCAAGATTTCGAGAAGCAAGGCATACCGTCGAGGAAAGCAGTTTATCGTTTGTAGCATCGCTTCGCCCCTTCGTTGCTATTTAATTGCTGCCATAGGTATGGTCAGGACGGCCTGGCTATTCTGGACATAATGCAGGGCGAGGAGGAGCCCGCACCACAGCCTGACAACAAGGTCTTCTGTCGTCATCTGTTCGACGATCAGAAGAGGTAAGTCTCATCACAGTGTTGGAAGGGGCTGGTGTTGACTGTCGTGGTAGGTGTTATGTTACCCCTAAGAAGGTGGAGCCTCTGCTGATTTGTGTGTGGAAAGACGGTAGTGATATGGGATAGGGAATTGTTCCTTGAATTGAAATCGTTTAGGGAAAGCGATCCATCTTACGTCTTCCCCCCGTACTAAGGAGAATGATCGCCCTGATATTCATAGCGCTAAAGAGCATTTTAAGGAGACGAGGAATACCTTCAGAAAGGACCACCTTAGACCCATTAATCCGACACCGTAGGTCTTTGACATGATCATCGAGTTGGAGTTAAGGTCTGCCAGGTACAAGGTTAGCACTTCTGCTGAGTTCTTCGATTTCTTCCGTCGTTTCTGGCAAGAGACCGCCCCCGTTAAAGAGTTTTCGTAGATTCGTACGTACTGAGGAGTAGTGGGAAACTGTTGGGGTATCCCTCTGGGGCGACCTTTGGCCGAGATGTTTATGTATGTAGTGATATGAATATGTTATTCCAATCGCTGTTTCACCCCTCTCCGTGAAGATCTTTTATGTCTCCTATACGAAGACATCAGATTGTCTCATCGCCTCAATACAGGCCCTACTGTTACTCGATTATCTGCACTTGACTTACTTGCGTTCGTAACTCTTGGAAACCGGAAAAAATTTCTGAATCGATTACTTGGGCGAGCGCGAAGTGTTCGAACGCGAGCGCAAGGTACGTACTATACATACTCGCCTTGCTGCGACGTTATTATCATGTTATCGCGGCCTGAGGCTTCATCTGTTATAAAACTATCATCGGTTGATTACTGGTGTCAGCAACGAGGGCTGGAAGGTCCTATAGAAGAGAACCTCACCAATTCAGGGTAATAGTGGGTGAAGTTGGACGATCATTTCTAATATTGCTAATTCTGCTTGTCAACTATCGTGTCGTGGAATCCCCAGAGGTAACTGCACATGATCTCGATATTCGTAGTATTTTATCGTACACGGGGTTCACCTGGTAGTCACAGTAGTGTTGGTGGTAGTTGTTGGGGCGTTTGGAATGCATTTGCTTGGGGAGTGGTATTGTCTCAGGAAGATGTTAAGTCGAAGAGGGAGTGGTGGATTTCGACTGAATAATCTACGGCTTGTCGACGGTAGTAGTAAGAATGGCATTTGTCTAGGCTCTTGTAGTTGTTACGTAAAACGCAAATAATGAAGTATGATGCTTCAGAAAAGGCTGGCTCGTTTACGTGTTGTTACGATGGGAATGTAGACTGCCGACACCCGCTGTTGTCTCCGGATAAAACGTAAATATGCATTTCCAAATCGCGGTACAGTTGTTATTGTTGTTGTTGCTTTCTCTTCAGTCCATCGACAGTGGCTTCATCTCCTATATCTCCTGACACTTTTGCAGCGGCATTTCTGTTGAGGCCTGGGGTCCGATTCGAGCCAGTTGTGCAAGTGCGTTTTTGTGAACGTCCAGAGGTCTACTCTGATAATGACGATGATATTTTGACTGGAACCCTTTTGAGTTCCGACTCTGACGCAGAGTCACCTATGAACGACACGAGCTGTCGACAGGGCGCTTCTCGTGAAACTACGACGAAGCGTCTGTCGAGCTCATCCGTCTCTGGTTGGCAGGGAATAGTCCTCGAGACAAGTGAGATGTTGTGGGTCGAGGAGTTATTGGTATCTTATGTGCTCAGAATGCGGGATAAAAGATTTCGACGGCCATTCTGCATTGAAGGAGAAGACTTATTCCACATTCGATGACCTCGAGTCCATGGCTAACCTCATGGGCGTTGAGCCGTCGAAACCGCGTTATGCTCGCCACAGGTGAGGTGTAGTCATTGGCTTTATTGTTTGTGTATTGGTATGGCTTGATGGCATTTCGAAAATAGTATGATAGAGACAATCGCTGAGTGTTCCCATTGGGGAAATTTACTGGGCAGGAAATTAGTCGGGTACGAGATATACGGACAGCCGATTGAGCTTTGAGCAGGTCGGAGACCGTGTCTGATTTGGAAGAGTATGTTGAGAGCTTGCAGCAGCTACCGAGGCAACGCCGATCATGGTCGACATCATTAACATGTAGCCTTCCGCGAGGACGGGAAACTTGTCCCTTACGTGGAGGGTGAGTTGTGGTGCTGTTGTATTGAGGTCGTATCGTTTTTCAGGGCCATGTTGGGTGACGAGGACGACTCTGATTCTGAAGAGAACCTTCTCGCGAGGATGGAGGCCATGGGCTGTGATATGGATTTAGAAGAATAGTCTTGCTGACGTATTCCATCTTCTTTGAATCCTATCAGCTATTGATTCAGTCGCATATTATTCCAGTGAAGCAGTTGAAGCAGCATAGCAATTCATCGGTACCGTATTGTTGACGATGCAGTATAGTGTAGACAGCGAGCATTCCTCTCTTGCTGTCAAGGCAACTGTACTGCCGAACTTTGCAATTCTAGTATGCCGTGATTCTGTGCTGGCTGGTTCTTGTTGCTGAGGTTCTTCTTGTATCATTGCGTCACCATGGTTTCCTAGTGTTCGGCTCAGTCCGTTCCCTGGGCTTCCGTCCGTGGGTTCATCTCTTTTCTGCCTGTCGTTGGGTAGCCGTATAAACGTGATCCCACGTAGGATAGTCCCATCCTTCTCACCACCTTTGGTTACACTTTTTTTATCTCAAGGTCTATGATCAAGTCTTCCAATTCTGACTCATCTCCATCGTTTGGTAGGGGAACTGGCGTGTGATATACCTGGGCGGCTACCATTTCGATGATTGAGTCTTCGCGTCATGTGACCCGCAGTTGATGTATTCCTTCTCATTAGAGCGTCCATTGTCGCCATCGTTGTTACTACTGTCTACTGCCGACGTTTTTTGGAAAGTGGAAAACTGAGAAACGGAACTACATCACCTTCGGTCACATTGTCGTATTGTCGTCATTACTAAATCATCGTCTTAGTAACAGTCCCACTCTTATCGCCACACATGTGCTCTAATAAGCTGAGTTTGACATTTACAACAGTGGTAGTGGCCTGTTTTTAAGCTGACTCTGCCGCTGTATTGTATTGTAAGTATCATAGCAGTGAGATAGATATGCTAGTATAGCTGTAGTGAGACATGTGTAGTTATTGTCGTGTTTTTCCTGCGTTTACTCGCTCCAATAGATGTGTCAAAGGCACTCGCCTTTCTTTCAGCGTTCCCTGCGAGGTATCGCTCACGTAGGTCGGTCCGCTGTAGTCTCATTCTCGATTTCTCTACATTATTAGACTCAAACACAACGTGTGCTCTGCAAGATGATGATGCACCCTGGTACAAGGCGATAATTTTTTATTACCTCACTAGGAGCACTATCTCGGCTGCCAGTTTGTACAGTTTTAACTTGTGGAGCAAACGTTATTTGAATCGCCTCAAGCTATTGTACGTTTCTTCACCACAGTTAATCATTTCTGGGGGTTTTACGACAGCTCGTTGATAGTGATATAGCCTAGCAGATGACCAAGGTGTTTATGGGAGGTTAGTGACTTGCTCCCAATTGACCCGGTAATCACAGCTCGTGATCACCACCACAATCATCCGCATCATCATATTGTATCTCTACGTTTCCCTGTCCTTCGATCCTGGTATGGTTCATACCGTATAAATACCATCAATATCTCCATTGCTCGTCGGGGCTCTTCCAGAGCGAGTGTCGCAAACGAATATTCGATGGTTCTAACTTGGCGAGTTGAGTTGTTAGTGTATCAGGAAATGTTCGAACTCACCGATCAGTGACCATAGCATCACGTTGAATGGTAAGAGAACTTACTTTAATCGTGAGCCTTCACCGGAAAGAACAGACAAGAGTACGTCAGCGGCTCTCGATGGCTGTTCTCTGAATATTAGCAATAATTTTCAACGTTACTTCTCATCCTAACCCAACCTTATACTTGCTATGAGTGATAGGTCATTCACAGTACGCGGCAAGTGCATTACTGTACTTTATTTTTTCCGCTTCTGCGACTCGACAACAGACTAACCCGCCCGCAAATATTTACTCTTTTTATTACCTTATTGTAATGCATCAGAATTTTCAACGTTACTTCTCATCCTAACCCAACCTTATACTTGCTATGAGTGATAGGTCATTCACAGTACGCGGCAAGTGCATTACTGTACTTTATTTTTTCCGCTTCTGCGACTCGACAACAGACTAACCCGCCCGCAAATATTTACTCTTTTTATTACCTTATTGTAATGCATCAGATTATACTCTATAGGTCGAGGTGAAATCGCTATCATTGCTCTAATTGCTATAATTACTAATCGCTCAGTATTACCGTCACCCACATCTACCTATTACGGGAGATGAACTCATCGAAGTCGCACATCCAAAGCATTGGAGTGGACTAAACCTCCGAGTGGATGCGGTATACGTATCATCATCACGGTTTAGGGTTTTGCCAAGAGTACTCTTGTGAACGAAAGGAAATCACTGCATAAGTGATCCTGTTCGAGTACAGTCGACAAGGGTAATAGACGTCACACTGCCTTATTGTGTTAGGATGTGTACGAATAGTGGTACGTTACACAATCTGTGTCTCTTTCGTGGATCGGAGAATCCGCGAAATTTATTGTGCAACCCATGCATATTTCATCAGGTGCGCAAGATACTCGATACGAGAGCCGATCCGAACGTTCCGGCGGCCACTCCTGGGGCCGTATGCGGATCCTGATGCAACAGGTGAGTCAGAGTATTTACTCAGATGAAAAAATCAGATGGTGAGTGTCAGAGCACCCTCTGGATAGGCGCCTTTAGACAGCGTATGCGTGCAGGGGATGCTCGTCGCACGCGCGCACATGTTATTGATCATCGACGCCTTTAATATTCTCGATCTCGCTTTTGGCAGAACAGCCTAAGTTTTACGACGATCAGTTTGGTTTAAGAGGTTCAACTTTATATAAGAGATCATAAGGCACTTAGATTTTCATTCTTTGAGACCTTAATGGCGCAGAGTTCAGTCCAGTCTGGCAGAACCCTAACATCTGGCTCCGATGCGGGGACCACGCCAGCTCTGGATTCGGTCTTTGTCTGGGCCGAGGGCTCCTCACCCGGCTCCAGGGATATTCGTCCCGACCCTAACGCACTCGCGGATGCCTTCCTGGGGGTCGTGGAGCACGCGATCAATGCTACATCCCAGCCCGACCCAGACGATTTCCTGGAGAAGGTAGCCAAGGCGGTAGCAGTGAAGCCGCTGCAGCATTTAGGGGACGTCGCCAGCTTGGCCAACGACATCTCTGACATCGACGGCGTCGGGTTTGAGGCCTATGTCGCCTTCTGGATCGGGTCGTCGTGTAATATGCTAGGGGAGGCCGTTCTTGGTCCTGAGGCGTTAAGCCTCTGGAAGGAGCGACTTCCGCCGTTGGTCTGTCTTCGTATAATCCAGAAACCTTGGTGGCTCGACCTGCCAGCTGTTCCCAGGCTGAGTTTGCAATATCGCTTCAACGGTATTGCTGCCAAGAAGGAGCTATTTGCTAACCCCTCAAGCCCATTCTCGGTTGGATGGAAGACTCGGTTCTTTGCTGTCTCGAGCCCATCACCACAAACCTTCTCCACATCTGCGGTGCCACCA